CGACTGGAGCCCCGGACGGATCCGAGAAAGGCTCTCCGAGGGGCGTGCTCGGCGGAGAGCAGGTGAGAGGCTGGGCGTTGCTGAGCCGGGCCCCAACTTTTACTGCAGCCGCGGTGGCGGCGGCAGCGGTCACGTTACGAGAAAGTCGGATCTCGGCCACTCGGTCAGAGACCTTCCAGCAACCTTGTATTTTATATTTACACCGAACAACATCCCGACTCCCTCCCCCCGCCGCACCCGAATCCCCTCTTCGTCGAGGTGCGGTCAGTTCCCCGGTCCCCCGGTCGCTCAAGTTCACTACCACTGGCTCCCCACTCGCGCCACGCCCCACTCTCCTCAAGCTCGGATCCGCTGCTGTCGGATCGTACAGGCCTTTGCCGTGACGTCAGATTTGAGCTCAGAACTGGCGGATGAAAATTCTATATACAGAGAAAATGTTATAAGCTGGCGAGCTTCGTAGCAGAAAATTCAGGAGGCTGCGCTGCACTGAGGATGGGTCCAATTAGACCCAAAACGCATCTGCAGTTTTCTTCCTGAATGGTCGTTACTAGTGTTGCACCAAACAGCGTATCTTTTTGAGGAAAAATTGTGCTCATATGAGCTTTTTCCCTTTGCATTAGGATATTTAGCTTTGCGCTGATTTTGAACGGACGTTGGCTAAAAAATTTCAGCTCACTGTCTCACGAATCGTGCGTCTACTGCATTCAATTTGTGATCAAAACGTATGAATTTCAAGGATAACAGATAAAATTGTGCAATTTGGGAGCAGGAGAAAGTCCAAAAAAGTGTCTACCAGTGCTGAGAATGCTTCGAGGGAATAAATAAATAAAAAAAAAATTTCACATCTTTCATGCCCCTTTGCGGACAAGCCTCTGCACAAGGCGCACACCGGTTTTCTCCTTTCGCCAGTGTTTTCAGCTCCTCATTTATGTATTTAAAACTAAACAGTGTAGTTATTTTTTTCTACAAATGGGAAACATTTTAACCGGAATCAGCCCACAGGAATGAGAGTTTGAAAGTGACCTCTAGGTTTCTAGCTTTGCGTTAAAGTCTCCTTGGGATATCCCTATCATACTCTCATACTGGCCAATATTCACACAAGCAACACACACATCAATGAATTATCTGAACCAGAATCAGCCCACAGGAATGAGAGTTTGAAAGTGACCGCTACGTTTCTAGCTTTGCGTTAAAGTCTCCTTGGGATATCCCTATCATACTCTCATACTGGCCAATATTCACACAAGCAACACACACATCAATGAATTATCTGAACCAGAATCAGCCCACAGGAATGAGAGTTTGAAAGTGACCTCTACGTTTCTAGCTTTGCTTTAAAGTTTCCTTCAACAGTCCTCCCTTGACATCATGGCAAGGTTTTTAAGGTTGACGGCGTCATAGCTACCATGACAACGAAAATATTCTGTATCTACGTTTGATACAATTTTTGGTAAATTGGGATATCGTGGAATATGATTATTTGAGAAGCTGCCAGGGTTAAGCAATTTCCAAAGGGGGGTGTAAAATTTGGCACTCTTATTTTCCAAAAAAAGAAAAAAAAAAAAATGATAAACCAATCATAAAAATTAAAAAATAATAATCCAAGAAACAATTTAAGGAAATGAGTGCGTTTCAAAACGTTGTGTAAAACGTTTTCTTGAAGGTCCATTGAAAAATGGCTTTTTGAACGACATGGTCCCTTTTTCAGCGTTAAGATCAGCTTGGCGCGACGGAGGGCAGCTACTTCAGCAACGGATACGCCGAAGCGCGTTGAAGCCACTCACAGGTGAAAAGGACTTGAATAGGATGTACGAGGGAAGCTGCGATCAACTTTCCGTTACTGGAAGAAGCTGGGAAGAGAAGCGAAGAACGGAGGGAAAGAGAGACAGAAAGAATCCCGCGAGAGAGGTGGGCGCGGGGGAAGGGGGGTCATACTTTCCATCTCCATGTGCTCTGCCGCTGTGTCCGGTTTTCTATTTGACCTACTCTACTTGGGCTAAGTCCGGGTTCCAGGTTCACACGGATCTCTAGGTTTCTTTCCTCATCCATCCGCGACATCATGGCAAGCGTCGTTGCCATATCTCCGGAAATTTCAACTTTCCACAACCGGATGCCTTCCAGTAGTTGAAACTTTGTCGATTTGGCAAGTGTTCGATGGTGAGAGAGCCAAAGAGGGGGAGCAAACAGGCGCGTAGGAAGAGCGAGTAGCCTTGAGGATGGGCTCGCAGCTTCAGACGGTTGGATGGGCGTCTTAGGGCAGCTCGATATTTTACCAACGTGTACCAGATGATTTTCCTACAAAAATTATAAGGAAAACGTTAATTTGAAAAAGGGTGCTAGACGTGGATGGGGAAGTTGTGGAAGAAGGATGAAAGTTCTCGCATTTTGCAAGAAGGAACTACTGTTTTCGAATCATCCATAAAATACCTATCTGCGGGAAGAAACTGATGGAGAGTAGATTGCTTTTTAAAAATCAGTCGGAAAGAGTAGTTCCTGATTGAAAAATGTGGTCCAATTCAGACTCGGAAATTTAAACTTTTACAGGACAGTTTTCTTCAATTTTAGCACATGTTTGGTTAATTCTCCAAGGTTTTTCCCTCGTCAAAAACCTAGAGCGAAATATAAGATAAAGTATTCACGCCCTTTTGATCAACTCGATTTGTATATTTTATGATTTAGGAAAAATGAGAGTACGCTAGAGTGAGATTCGTAAGTATAATTTAATATTATTAAAAATTCACAGTTTCGGGTGACAGCTTTTATGCCAGTGTAGTATAAATAGTACGTTCTATCATCTCTCCAACAACTAAATTCATGAAGATCCTATGCAAACTATAACATCATACAGACTTACTAATCTTACCTTAGAACTCACAACAGTCGAGTCAACAGAAAAGTCCAAGTATATTTATCATCTCCTCCTTTTTTACTTTATTTGTCTTCATAGTGTCATACGATTTGTTGAGTTTCCAACGGTATGCATTTTCAAAATTTTAAAATTAAGAAAAATAAAGAACATGATCGAAACATCATAAATACTATTTTTGTGATTTGTGGCATTTAATTTGTTGTGATTTTTACAATCGTCCACACAAAACTATGGAAATCCTCATACTCTCATGACAAAAATAATTTTTAATCAACGGGTAACTTTGAAAATTTTGTCGTGGACTCTCTTCTACGCAAAAACTAAAATTCAATCAGGCATCTTATATTAGAATAACAAATTCAAAAGCACTTTATCTTGCCAGAACTTCAAAACATATTTTTGATGAATACTATATTTTTTTCAATGATCTAAGGGGGTGCAAAGACTCGTTGTAAGTATCTACTATAAATAATTTGATCATCTGGATTTTTTCAATAATGTGTCTTGATTCAACCGAGGAAACCGACCATTATTACAGAAATACATAAACTTATATTTGAGTCAGCTACTTTAAAATTCGTCAGGAATAGAAAGAATACGTTATTTTTTTAAACTTTGTAGGAAAGCATCTAGTCAATCTTTATTTTCCTCGAAATACCCTGCCAGCCTTGTGGGCACACTTTAAAATATTTTAGAATTTGATAAAAAAAAAAGTTCCATCGGGTGTAGACAGAAGAAGAACTTTGCGGATCCGCTTCTGTTTGCAGACGAGCCGGAGGACCTGTCCGGGGAGAGTTTAAAAGTGAAAGTGGCGATAGTCATCGTCTCCCGCCTCGCCCAAGGCAGCCTTCGAGCAGCGAATCTTCACGTCCTGTCCTCAGCATCCTGAGCACGCCAGCCAGAAAAGGATCTGCTTTGAAAATTATTTGCGTGATTCACAGTCGTTGCCAGTCAAAGCCGAAAATCCATAAAATATGAAAAAGAGGAATACACTTTTTCCCCGAAAACGTCATATGAGCCATAATACTGACCGTTCAAACAATTTAAAACTTGGAGGATGACAATACTTGCACATTCAAAAAAATTAAGAAGTAAAAAAATAAAGAAAAAAATAAAAAAGTAAAAAAATAGAAACCCATCAAAAAGTTTTAGGGCGTACAAAGCAAGAAACCCATGTTGCGTGAAAATCCCACTTTATGCAGATTTATGAATGTTGTACCACTATTTCACTATTTCACTATTTTCACTACTTTCACTATTTTCAGTACATGTTAACAAAAGTTTTACGTACCTACATTTTTCATTTTGCCCGTTGTGTAATATGCGGATTATTATTTTGAGCTTTGCATCAATATACACTTTTTTTTTAGAATTGAATACATTATGAATGTTAATTTTTGTCTTTATAACTTTTTTGCACTGATTCCAACTTAAATTCTCTACTCCGATGAGGAACGAAAAAGAGCTCTTGATTTCAGAACACGGATGCTTTGATCATTTTATTACAATTTTATTTTTCATTTTATTTGTTTTTTTCGCACCAACATTTTTTCTAGAAACATATTTATGATGTCGACGTTCGACAGACCTTTTAACTGTTTTTCTAACCTAATGAATTCAATTATCAGAAAACGGTTCTCTGACAAGCGCGATTATTTTTCAGTACCATATTATGTATGTATTGAAAGCCCAAGTTTCTTGCCCTTTCATCTGCGTTGCAACATCATCAGTCAAGATCATTCTTCGACTACCTGAAGCAGAAGGCTGTTGTTCAACCCTATACTGTCATGCTAAGGAAAAGAGCAGTATCTGCAGGACCTTTAATTTTATAATAGAACAATATTCATAGAACGATGCAAGTGCATTAAGAAATATGAATATCAAATAATAATGCATAAGGTTGAAGATTACAGTTGTGACTGGCCAGTAAGTAGCCTTGAAACGTAAGTGCGATTTTTGAAAAAAAAATGTGCAAAGCCAAATTTTATTTCATGCTTTTTTCATCGAGTTATAAACAGTGCAACACCTCTGTAAAAACACCGCTAAATCAATTAAGGATCCGCCCTGATGTTAAAGTAAATATACACAGCTTTACATGAGGTAGACGGTGAAAGTTTGAGCTACAGCTCACGGTTATTTTCCAGATATCTGGAGTCGTGGACCCTGTTGTGTGCGTGCATTTCTGTGGACAATCACTTGTGAAGAGTAGGCAGGCAGCGCCCTCACCGGCTCTTGCTGTAACTATCGTGGCTGCAGTCGCTAGATCATATATATAAAACTCCATGACCACGGTCTTCAAATGCAGCCTCCTTCCTTTGTAGGTGGGTCTTGTTGCGCAGTTTTCACGCGTCTTGGAGACGTTATTCGTCTTAACATTACCGTGGAGGTTCTCCGTCATGTAGAATTGGATTCAGTCATTTTTCAATGTCACCAAAGAATATACATCGATGCATATCACTTCGGCGTGACGTAACACCACTGGAATCTATGAGACCTTCCGCTAGTCTCCTAGTGGTGGACTTGTCAAGCCAACTTGCCGGACAAATTGCGCATTACGATGACAAGTCACTGAACCGCCAGAAAAAAAGCATAATACCGTGATCGAACGTTGTATTTTTGAAAATTCACGCTCTCACCTATACCGGGATTCTAGATAAGAGTCTCTCCGTTTCTGGTGTGTCCTAATTTGGGTTAATTTCAGACATACAAAATGTGATAAAATTGAATTATATAAAATTTTATGAAACTGTTTGATGAAACTTAGACAGCCCTGAAGAGTCTAGAAATATTGAAACCTCAACTCGAAATTTTGGGAGGGGTGGGGGATGGGGAGGTTATGGGTCAAATTTCAACATTCTTCAAAAAAATTACGGTTATTCGTTACAAGTTGTAAACTTAGTCCCTGGAAATTTCATGATATTTTATAAAGTATTCTCAGCTAAATGATTCTGCTTTTGGTGAATTTAATTTTACATCACTGGTTAAATAAAGTTCCTGCATGCAGGGGTGAAGAACTCGAGATGAATATACGATGGTTCAATGTTACCACTGACTTCGTCAAAGAGTAACTTTCGGGTAGAAAATTAAATGATGAGATGAAAACATAATGGCGATAGCTTATTCAGTAACAGAAGAGCCTTTTCGTGTAATTATATGAATTCTCTGCGCTGAGTTGGGCTCAATGTATTGGTAAAGTTACCACCGGTACCATCCGTAATGTAGAATCCGGGCATCAAGATTGTAATTTGTACCCTTAGTTACAAAAACCCTACTGGCAGGATATTTACGTCTACCCCTGATTTGACGATTTGAATAATTACAGAGCTGAACCTACACATGATCTCGATCTGTGGTACCACTACGGCGTTAATTTTGAGGATTCTTTTCAACTTGTAAGTTACTTTCGACAAGAGTTCTAACCTCATCACATTCATTTTTGTATGCTTTCATCCATTCGTTGATAGATAATAAAAGACCATTCAAATGATACCTACTTCTCCAGGGCATGACATGATTATGTTCACATGAATTTTTCCTTGAATTGAGTACCATGTGTGCATTTAGAATTATAACAAATAACTCCTCTAAATTTGGTATATGATTTTAAAAGAGAGGAGGAATTAAGGTGATTTTCAAAACGTTGTGGAATATTCCCCCACTTTTGTTATTTTGCAAGGGGCCTTTACCTCCATTGACCAACTCGCTTCAAGAACTCCTCTATTGATGTGGACAAAATCATTGAACTTTCTTTGAATATATCAAAAGGTTTAGAAATTACATGAAATTTTATCTCAAACTGAGGGATCCGCCCCCTGACTGCTTAACAGTTCAACCCTCCAAAGCACTTCACGCCTCAGACGTTATGCGTTACGCATTACTCTTAAGATTTGATTTAGTAGAGTAAGATTTCCAAATTTCTTCTTGCAAAACTGATGGAATATTCACCAAAATTCGTCAAACGTGACCAACATTTGTGTCATTTCGAACCCATACCCTGTGTTGATTTTGGCCGAAAAACATATTATCTCGGATCAGGGCTCTCGTTCTATGTCTGTCAAGAGTTTCAGGATTCTTCATAGATTTTTTTTGAAGTTCATAGAAAGTTCCAGAAAATGCAAAAGATCCGGAACATTTCGAGAATTTTAAAAGTTCCGGGAAAATTCAGAAAAATCTCAAAAGTTCCAAAATTCAGCACTAGTTCCGGGGCACTGTCCCGGATCTGAAGATAATCTGAAAAATATTCAGGTTGTTTCAATCATGGAATGGAGAGTAGATCCGAGACTCATACGTCAATTTTCCTCATTCATCAAGTTGGCTGTGCAAAAACGCTCGAGCAGACCGCGTGCACTGAGATCTGAAATCGGCGCGTGAACTTTGCGAGGCGACGCGACGAGGTGATTTTTCGACGCAGATTCGGTTCGGATGGAAATAGCGACAGCTTGAGTGATTTTCGAGGGAGATGATCGCCGCCTCAGCCCTCAGGGCGCCATGTCGCGCTCCGATGAGGCCTACTTTCAGATCCGTGTCCGCACGCAGCTTACATCGACTCATCTCCCATCGCTGATTAAGCACCACAATTTCACTGCCTCCATATGCCTCAGCCGCGTGGATTATAATAAATATTTCACAGTCGATTCTCTTAAAGAACATATAGGCAGAGGGGTGTTGCCATGCTGCACTAGAAAAAAAAAACACATTGGATCTAGAGTCCAGACTCTTAAAAACATCGACAAGAAAAAAAATACTCTTGATTCAATCGGATTTTCGCTTAAATCAAGAACCAAGACTCTTAAATTGAGCGGATTTCCTTTTGATTTGAGCAAAAATCTGATTGAATCACGAGTATTTTTTCTTGTCAATGTTTTCAAGAGTATGGACTCGAGATCCAATGTGTTTTTTTTCCCAGTGTGGTGGCGTTTTCACGCGGTTGTAAGGCACCGATCCTCCCGGGACCCAAGTAGCATGCAGCGATCCCGATAAGTTGCGATTTGATCGAAAACTGTATTGCAATTTTATCGACGGCGATTTATCGCGATATTTTAGAAAAAAATTCGTGGTGAATTGAAATGAAATTTCAATTTCATCTAACGAGATTTTACAGAGATGAAATTGTCACAATATTGAGGACAATCGCTCAGATGTTGATGATTTTAGCAATTTTATCGCCAGGAAATCGTGAAAAAAGTGTACCTTAATCATTTTCTTAAAAAATTCGATTTTAATCACATAAATTTGCAATGAAATCGCAATTTTATCGACGGCGATTAATCGTGATATTTTTTAACAAAAAATCGTGGTGACCTGAGATAAAATTTAGATTTGATCAAACGGTATTTTATAGGGATAAAATTGCCACAAGATTGATGACAATCGCTCAGATGTCAACGATCCTAGCGAATTTATCGCCCAAAAATCGTAAAACATTGCAATTAATTATTTCCATAAATCGCGATTTTTCCGTTGAAAAATGCTACTTGGGTCATGCGATTTTAAGGCGCCAATCCTTCCGCGAGTGGTTTTTTCAAGGTCCAAGTTTGATAGAAACATACTTAGGTGCTATTTAGAAAATATGAGTTACATATAGTTTTGGATACAACTAGGGTCCACGCCAAATAAGTTTACGTAATTTTAGACTGCGACAAAAGATCCACCTTCTTGATTCTTGCATTTAATTTCCATGCTAAAATGACGTCAGACGATTTCCCGTCGCGGTCAAAACGTGCGTAAACTTATTTGGCGTGAAACCTAGTCGAAAATTTTCGCCTGTACCTATCGACTTCGAAGTCGTGGATAAATATTTTCAAGATTAAAACAATCATTAAACTTCATCCTTATCCGGTCTAACGGAGGAACAAAACTTCAAACCTCCTCTTCTGGATTCACACTAGATGTGAATCGGAACATTTTTTGTTAAACATTGTCGAAATAAGGTTCCTGTCACACATATGCATCATTTTTTCAGGAAAATTGGCTGGAAGATGGTCGAAAGTTAGAGTAAAATCCATGTAAGGATTCGTAAGTGAACTCAAATTATGTAAGAAATTAATTTTATTGAATAGAATTGCTTTCTGAGATCCTTTATTATTACGCCCCTTTAAAGTATTTTTTTTTCATTTATATACAAATAGTTTAAAAAAGTGTGTACCTGCTGCTTATTTGTAGAGGGAAGTGATTTAATTTTGATTCGGCGGAAAATATAGATTTTTATACATACCCGCGAAAATTTTAATTGAAGATAAAATGGGATAAGAATTTGTAACGCAGCATTAATTTATGCAAACTTTAAAAGTTTGTCTCGAAAACTGTGCATCAAGGAGAAATGGAAAGTTGTTGTGAGACTATGAAAGAGTCTTCAGAAATGATGTAGAACTCTGAACTGAACGTTACTTTGTTGCGCCTGGAAAGTATGCGATTATTTCGAACGGAATGTTACGCCAGGTTGCTTTCTCTCAGGCGTTTTGAACGTTGCTACGGTATACGCTTGCTTGCAGAAGTTAGCCGTAAGAGAATAGTGAGCCGGTACATCCGTATTTGTTTAAACAGTAATGCTGTTTGTTTTCAGACATTCTTTGCTCCACCACAATCTGACGTGCACAGTCTGGCTTGATAGATTTACATTGAAGAAAGTCGAAAAGATAAATCGTGTTTTTAGGAACCTGGAACTTTCGGGTCGGACAAAAATTGTCGGAGAAGCTTCGGTTTTTAGTTGGAATAAAGCATGGTTACATTGAATTACATCCATAACAATAACATTGATAATTTTGATCAAATTTCATAGTTCGTGCCAAAATTAGCTTTTGGAGAAGTACATCAGTGCTTCAATGTGTGAAAATGGATTAAAATGTGAATGAGAGACAAAAAATAATTCTACTGAGACATGAACGACGTCCGAATAAATAATATATCTTATTTTAAAAACACGTGAGTTTTTATAGAAAATTGTAAGAACGAGAATAATCGTGTTTCTCAATCAGTGTCATCAGCTTGGGCAAGATGATACAATACTGAGCCTGAAATTGTTCTTAATTTCTAATTTAGAAGTGGAATTAAAGTGACAAATAAATGGGCAATAAAATAATAGTTGTTTTAGTTTATTTTTTTGTATAAATATTATGGCCTTCATTTATTTTAATTTATTGCGATTAACGATCAAAGAATATTGACAAATTAAGGAGGTCTACCATTTTCGATGTAAATTAAATAGTCTATACATGAAGTCTATATAATTAATTCACAGAGGACGTCCACCGAAATTATGAATTAGTGTTTTATTTTAAGTTTTACATTGTATTTCATCGAATTGCACAACATTCTAAAAGTTTTATCTTCGTTGATTTTTGAACTTATACATTATTACCATGCACACTTTTAAGCACACGGTAAAAGAGGGGGGTGTAT